TGGAATATATTCAAACTGACAAACAACTGGCGGATATTCTGACTAAGCCACTAGACGCAAATCATTTTGAAATTTTCAGGTCTGCTCTGGGAATTTGCAGAATTGACTAATAAAGCAGTTGGTCAGTCAAAGAGGAGTGGAGGTTTGTTTGTACGGGTCAGTATTATGGCTTGACTTCCTTTTAAATATCCTCTCTATTTTTGTTAAGTGGATTCTATAACCTAATGTATCTCAAAGATATCTTAAAGATCTTAATCTTTTTTCGAAATTCAAATTTCCTTGGGTTCCGTTTCCTTCCTAAAAAGAAGTTGTACCGTTGTGTCAATCAATCGCGTCTGCATTCTATTTGACTAGCCTCATTAATTAGGGTTCATCACCCTTAAGTCTATTTGTTATCGGGCCAAGTAGAAAAATATCTACGAGTATCTCAGCACTCAGTCTTCCTCTCTGCTTCCTTGCCTTCCTTGATTTGTCCTTCTTCTCTCACAAAAATCTCCAATGGCGGATCCAGTAAGAAATATCATCATCAAACTCGGAAGCAAGACACATTCTCCAGAAGTGGCGTTTAAGCATATTCAGACTCTATTTGCCATGAAGAAGAAACTCAAGCTTGATCCTCTACTTCGTGATGAGATATTGGTGACTGTTATGACAAACTACCAAGAGTTTTATGCTGATTGGTCTGAAGACGATGCAACTGAACTGCTGATGATGGTTTCTGAAGCCAGTGATGAGGTTTCTCCAATATCTATTCCAGAACCCTCGGATGGAAATCGGGTCGGGGCATTTCTTCGGCATTTTGCACAACGAACCCTAGAATCTGCTGAGGTCTCTCGACGGCAAGCAGAGTCGCAGCCCTTGTATCTCGAAGCTGCTGAAAAAGAGGCAAGACACAGACTGGAGATCCTCCGAAACAGGTCAAACAATTCTGATTCTCCTATTGAAATTTCACCGGATAAACCTGATGATTCTGCTACTCCGTCTTGTGTGCATGTTAATAATGAAAATTTAACTGCTTTGAACTCTGAGAAACCCCCTGTGAATGTTGATCCTTCATCTCTGCCGTTAAGTGAGTCTGATTGTGTGAAAAATGATGCCTTGCATGTGTCTGATGAGAAAGAAAAATCATCTGATGAGCCCAATAATCTGAGTCTAATTGTATTCTCTTCTGATAATATTGTTCTGCCATCTGCTGAGATTGCTGTTGATCCCAAAGAAATTTGCCCTGCTGATGATCCGTCTGATTTACCTGCTAATGTTGAGTATGTTGACCTCTCTAGCCCCAATAAGTCTGAGAAAACAGGTGGAATCCCAGTCTACACTGCCACATCGTTAGGTGAAAGTCTGGAACATGTGCGACATTTTGCTGGACTACCGTCTGCTTTGATTCCTCAACCATATCGAGTGATTCACCCATCTGAACCCTCCAGCGAAGATGATAAGATTCTGGCTGAAGTTTATGGGTCTCAAGCACCTCCATCTGACATTCCAACCATTGAGGCCACTGCTCATCCTGACTCCACAAAATTTAAAATACGAGAGGTTACTAATCTGCTTGATGGCTCTTCTGCTCAAGTATCTGATTCCAGTCATTCTGTGACTCCTGTTCAATCCCCAACCAAAGAAACGAGAAGGTCTAAGAGGAAGAATGTTCCTGTAAAAGTTATTGCGGAGACAGGTGATGACAATGCTGACACAGATCAGCTTGAGAAGAAAAGGAAGTCTAGTGAAACAGTCAAATCTGAATCTAATCCACCTATCCAACAAGTTTTCAAGACTCTACGATCCTCTGTTAAGCAAAAGGGTTCTGTTGCTACTCAACCACATGTTGTCCTCGCATCTTCCACCAGAAAAGTGAAACATGCTACCCGTGCTAGAGGTCGGAGCATTACACCTGAGGTTCAAGCTGCTGAAAGCTCTGACACATCCATTTACAGACCTCAATTTGTTTCTCCTTCTGCTCAAGCCAAGTGGTCCACAATGGTCCGAAGAGAACTGATTGTTCAAAGATCGGTTGATGAAAACCAGATGAACTCCGTCTGTGATGTTCTGTCCTTGCTGAGAGAAGTGGGTCTTCTGAAGACTGTCACTGCCATCTGTCCTTACTCAAAGCTGCTCACCTACGAATTTTACTGTAATCTTAATGAGGAGATGGACAATTTGTCTGGAGAGCATCCACTGCAGATTTTCATTCGAGGGGAATGGTATGTGTTTGGCCCTGACAAGATTAACGAATACTATAGCCTGCAAGGAGTCCAAGAGGAAGCTATTACTGACTGGGATGCAGTGGCCAAAACAGTCACAGGTGGACAAGCTGACAGATGGCGTACTGGTGACAAGGATATTCTACCTAGCTCTCAGCTCACCTCCAAATATGTGATTCTTCATCGTCTTGCTCTGCATAACTGGCTCCCTTCGGCACATTTCCACACTGTCAGCAAGCCACTGGCCAGTCTCTTATTCAGAATTGGAACCAAGATGCCCTTTGATCTTGGGTCGTGGATCTATTCTCATATTCTCACTCTGATTCACCCGAGGGAACAAAAGGTACGACTGCCCTTTCCTAATTTGATCTTTGGAATTCTTACATCACAGGGCCTTGAGTCTATGACGAGTGAGGTAATCAGTCCGACCCTTCTCTACACGGTGGACCGGCGTCTGTTGATTGGAGAACATATATGTGATGTTACGCCGGTGACTGCACCCTCCAATCCTGAGACTGATACAGTGGAGGACATCTCGCCGCATGCACGAGATCTTCAACTCTCTATCCAATTGAAGGCAAGAGTCTCTGAACTCGAGACAGTTCATGGCATAATCGCTAAACAGCTGACAGGGGCTCATACAGAATTAGCCACTGTTCTTCTTTGTTTAAGCCTGACTGAGGTCTCTGCTGCTGCTCCTGTGAAGTCTAACAGTGAGACTCCCTCCAACGCTTGACCTGGCTTTGGCTCTCTTTTGGCAAAAAGGGGGAGTATGAACTTAGGGGGAGTTGTGTGTTTTTGTGTACCTTCTGGCCCTGGCAGGGCGATTGTTTGTGATGGCACCTCCTTTTGAAGAATGTTTTTCTTGACTTTGTTTTGATCCAGCATGACACGTATGCTGTGTTTTTATTTCTGCAATGTAATCAAATGTTGGGTGGTTTTATGTTAGCCTATCTTAGTTATCTCAGTTCTTATGTCTTTCTATATAGTCGAGATGTTTTGCCAAATAATAGCCAAAGGGGGAGTTTGTTAGTGTTTTAATTGTTCAAAAACCCAACTTATAATTGACAATATTATTATGGCATACTAAGATAGGATTAGTTCAGTGTCTGTTTTGTTCCTCAAAGGACTGATTAATCAGATTCAACAACAGAAGGACTGACACTGAAGATCTATTGTAGGAAGCTATTTTCCTAAATGTTGTACGCGGTTTTACAGAAGTCAGATTTGGAAAGAAGATCAGCGTATCTGCTTTGGAAAGGTATGGACCGAATCCTTAAGATTACATTCTTCAAATATCGTCCTACCATCTACAATCAAAGACATCTATGGAAGGAGTGTTCTTTTGACGAAACTATAAGTATCCTCATTCGAAGTGAATGAGGGTTACGCCTTTGAGAAAGAAGAAAACACTTCACATCAGTTTGATGAGATCAGATCTTTGATAATCATGCCTCTTCTCAATACAACATGTTCATGGTGATTAAGATGACGAACTTGAGAAGAATCACTACTGCTTAAACGAAAGGACACTGTGATCACACTGTTGTGGGAACAACTGTAAATAGCATCATTGAAGTGGACTGCATCAGAGTGGGCTCTCCAAGTGAAGGGATTTCATTGGACTTCTGTATGCATAGCTCTCCATCTTCAACAATCCACTAAACCTGTGTAGACTGGGTATGTACCTTGTGTGGGGCACTTGGGTAAGATTTTTGTATATCTACCTTTGTACATCGGATTATGATTTAGTGGATTGGACGCCTATGTGATCGTCCCCCAGACGTAGATACACACTGTATCGAACTGGGTAAACATTATGTGTTGTTGGCTTTGTGGTGTTATCTTTTCTTTAATCTTCACTGTGATTAGTTATTACTGATTGAATTCATCGCTGAATCAGTCAGTCTATTTAGTCAGTTGATTAATCCAGTTAATCTGTTTAAAAAGAGAAAATGTAAAATTACACAAATAACAAAATGTAGGTTACCTCATGAGTTTGACCGAACATTCAAAATAGTTCTGATAATCAAATAGCCCGATGTAGCAAAAATCATTTCTATAAAAATCACATAACAAATTACATAATTTATTGTACAGAGTTTTTCAAGTCACATATTTTCTCAATATACATAATATTTCCAATTATGGATAATAAATTTATCAAACTAAGAATTATGCAAGGTATAAACCCTTCCCAAAATAATAATTTTCTTAGTACATAACTCTTTAAACAAATCGTGGAATAGTTTATTAAACCAAAATAGTTTCAAAAGAGTTGAAGTGGTTTAATTGTAAAGAATTTAAGTTATTAAACATGAAGTTAAGGGTTCAAGTGTTACTCTGAACATAGTAGAAATCATTTTACAAATCTAATATGTACATATGCAATATAACCATACAAATTGCTAAGAGGTGGAATTGAACCCACATCCACCTATTTACACAACAACAGTCCTACCAACCCACCATCTCTACACATGATAACAATTTCAGTACGTAACTTTACTTAACATTCGTTTCCGAACACAGTTCTCACAGAACTAAAAACAATTTCAGTCCAAGCTCTAAAATATATAGCAATTTCAATTTCAGTCCAAGCTCTAAAATATATAGCAATTTCAGTCCAAACTTCAGAAATCATGGCTTAGCATTTTCAGACCCAAAAACATATCATAGCCCAAAATATTTTTAACTCATACTAACCATAAAATGGGTATTCAAAGTAGTAGAGGTTTCAAAATAGGTTATATATATGGGTTTTGCAAAATAAGGAGAGAAGAGTTAACCACTTACCTGAAACACCCAAATCTTAACTATTTAGCTCACCCAAATACTCCTTGTCAAATTTCCTAATATTTTCAATCATCAATCTTAGGGCTCAAATGTTAAACCCAATTAAAAAAGGAGTGAAATATGGAGGTCAAACTTACCTAGAATACTCCAATAACTTGAGACCTAAGCTTGAAGAAGATGAAGATCAAAGCTTCAAGATGTTTCTTTTCCTCTATCTCTCTAGTCCACTCATCTTATCTTCTTTCAAAAGAGATGTTTATCCAAAGACCAAAGTGGTTTCTTAACCTTTAAGGGTAATGAAGGGCAATTTAGTAATTTTATCCAATATTAAACTTGAATAAGCTTTGACTTGTTGACCACATTTAATAAACATAGATATAATTTTATTTCTAAGATAGTGGGTATTACAAGTATGCCTGTGGTTTTTTCCCTAGCAAGATTCATTTTGCATTATGTCAATAACTGGAGTTCAAATAGTGGTTTATATGTTACAGTTTTCTGCCTTGTTGATTTCTTGAATTGAAATGCCAGTACCTCAACTTGGTTAAACAGTCTACCTTTTGAATCATATCATTCACTCAATATGGGGTCGTTTACTTCGTTTCTCTGTCTTTCCTTTTCCAGTTTTCCAGTTTTCCATTTCTCCATTTTTCCAATTTTTCAAGTAATAATAATAATAATAACAATAATAATAATAACAATAATAATAATAACAATAATAATAATAACAATAACAATAATAATAACAATAACAATAATAATAACAATAACAATAACAATAATAAGAACAATAACAATAACAATAATAAGAAGAAGAAGGGACATATACGCTAATATGCTATCTGTCAAAATCGACCCATCGACCTTAAGGAATGACACTGTTCATGCGCGCGCTTTCCTCCATTCTTCCATTTGGAGAACTTCGTTTATCTATTCTCCAAATATAGTGAAAAAGTGGAGAATGGAGATAGAATGTGAATTTGGAGCAAGGATTTTAGTAAACAAGTTTTCCATTCTCTATTTTTTCACTTCTCTAATTCTCCATTTTTTTGGAAAATCTTCCATTTTTCCAAGTTAGTAAACGACCCCATATTTTCCTATCAAATTGGAGGATACCCTTGCATTCTCAAATTATAATTTTCCATCAGTTCTGAACCATTCTCAAATCAGACGCCAATTCCGCCGGAAAACCAGCTACGCCGTCGCTGCTTCGCCTTGCTGCCACCCGCAACTCCAAGTCGCGTCGTCAACGGGAGTTTGAGGAGCAACGTCATCGACTGCATGCTATCATGTTGTTCTGGCTTGTATGGTGAGGAAGAAGACAATCCAAGTAATGAAAGCACAACTTTATCCCTAAAATTAACATCTAAATAACGCTGAGATAACGGAAGGACCAATGGTGGAAAGATTTTGATAGTCAAGTGTCAAATTTGTCCAAATTAAAAGACAAGGACTAAATTTGGAAAATCACTATAGTCGGAGGACCTTTGCTGGAATTAACTCTTATTTCTTCTCATCTTCACAATTTCAACTTTCTCTCCTCTGCAAAATCCATCTTAATTACCTCTTCGTAACATTATTACTGGCTATGGCGGCTTTTGGTGCTATAACCATTTTAATGGACACACTCCATCAACACTTCCTCCAACCCACACCCATTTTCCCTCTTCGCAACAAAACAAAAGTCACTTCTCTTTACAGGATCTTTCTTCTTTCCGCACCTCTCTTGAACAAGATTTCGGTTTTAGGGTGGGCGAGGGCGACTACGATGAAGCAATCAAAGGTTTGGACGCACAAATGAGAGATGTTTGCGTTGAACTAAGGTTCCAAATTGAACACTAATTGAGATTGTTTTACCTGGGGAAATCCATGAAGCTTAGGCTTCACTCTACTCAAAAGCTTCTTCCCATTTTGAATCGAGCAATTAAAGGCATAGAAACTATGTCTATGGATATGAATTGTGTGTTGGATATGCTAAGGAACCACTTCACGCTGCCGGTATCACGCATGCCGCCTCGTATAAATAAAAGGGTCAAATCTTTTTGCACACAGCATCAACGTCTTTTGTATCATAAACAATATTACTATTATGAGCAAGAGAGTGGCGATGAACAAGAAAGCAAGAATGAACAAGAAGCTGGTGATGAACAGGAGAGCAAGCATAAAGAAAGGAGGAATATGTTGTATGAAGCAGAAAGTTTAATCAGGCAAGAATTGAGAGCCCCCTCCTCTTATCTCTATAAATACATGAAACAACGGAAACAGGCTCGACACAGGATTCGTCAGATCTTCACTCTAGGAAATAAGCTCACAACTTACATCAACAAAGAGCTGTTGAAGGTTAGGAATGCATACCACCAATCCAAAAACTCATAAAACAACAATCATGTTTCTCCTACAAGGCCTGATTCGCTGCAACAGCAAGCTTCAAAGTCTACAATCAAAATGGTTGGCTGCGATGATGAGTTCAACACAATAATGGACAACCTGAACCAGCGATCCTCGAAACGAGAAATTTTCTCAATTGTGGGAATGGGCGGCATCGGTAAAACTACCTTAGCTAAAAAAATTTATGAAGATGCTTCATTCATTTCTCGTTTTGATTGTCAAGCTTGGGTTACTATCTCACAGGAGTATAATCCGGGACAAGTGTTCCAAAGCCTACTTCATTCTCTTGCCCCAGCAGGGGTCTATGAAAACAGTGATGAATTGGCTGAGCTAGTATACAAATGTCTCAAGGGTCAAAGGTATCTGATTGTAATAGATGACATATGTGTGAGATCTAAATATACAGAGTATAATCTACGAGAAACTTAACTCGTAGTAGCGGAAGCGGAAGCACGGTAGATCTCCAGCCATGGTTGATATCCTGTTGTGTAGCCACGTGAATGGTAGATCTGCGGAATAGGGTTAGCCGTTTTGTCTCATACTTGACTCAGAACCCTAGATGGTGTACTGGTATTTTCTGAGCAGTATGAGTACCATAACTTTATGCTATATAATGAATATGTCATGTATCCCATCAATACAGGGTTTATATAGGCATATGGTGGAATACAGACTTAACCTAATGTCCAGTCCAACCAATTACTTAATGGGCCTAATCCACCTGCACCACATAAGTAAGACCCATAATATATAATATATATTATACAGGAAAGTCTTACAGTCTCCCACTTGGTGCAAGTAATAACACAATTCTCATCAAAGAACAAAACCCACGAATCATAGTAATATGTCTTCTACTGAATAAGTGAGTAATATCTCCTATGATCACATGCATTTTGATTACCCAACTTGAATCATTTATGAACAAACCTTATGTTTATTCCTGGTACCTTAAATGGATATTTCTCAAAAAAAAACAATATATATATATATATATATATATATATATATATATATATGCGCAACTAAAGAGAGAAAATCATCCAAATTGTACAATAGAGTACACTGTATGATCTCCAAGATCCTTAAAAGCATGCCTTAAGTAGAGATCTTTTAATGTTAGCATAAAGCTAACTATATTCAATGACTTCTTTATAAGTTAACTTTAAGCACTACCTCTAACGGCTAAGAGCTTGGAGTTGACACGTCTGTCACTCCCACTCATCAAAATAGCCAAAAGATAGTCAAGTTATAGAAGCATTCCAATAACTTAGACAATAAATCAAAACTCTAAGTCCATAAATTTGGAATGTTAAACATAGACCATAACCTCCCAAATAATCTCAAGGTCCACCTTAAAATAAATGAACTGAACATTATGAGTCTTACTTTTATGTTTCTCAAAATTGTCTTGAGCCTTACAAACCAAAATGGCCCAGGATCAATTTTGAAGAAACTAAAGACTATTAAATGCTGAAGAATTTATTACTTAACAGTGCACCACAAGTTATATGTTTTATTCTAATAAACTCAATTATTACAACATTTTCATAAATATGTTGCTAAACCAATATGAATTTATATGATCAAATACAATATTAATACTTGTGGAATCTTTTGGACTTATTGTTTGACATACAATCCAATTTAGGAGGTATGAAGCCTATTAAATCCAAAATCTTTAATGGAGTATCTTAATGATCTTTTTCTAAATGATCACTCCCACTGATTATGGAGTATCTTAATGATCCTTTTTTAAATGATCACTCCCACTGATTAAGATATTCTTTAGCAAAATTAATGATATACGTACTCATAATTGATTTGACCAACTAATTAATGAAGATATAATTCCCCACTATTAGTTGGGCATACTAAATAATCAATATATGATTCCAATTATAGTCCAACTAAAGGAATAACTAATAAGGACATAACTCCACACCATAGTTGGACATACTAAATAATAAAACACACTTTCCAAAACCAATTTAGAATTTGGCTCAAAAAGGTACATTTTATTCTTGGAATCCAAAAAGGTATATCATATCACATAACTTACTATAGTTGATCCAAATAACTAAGTAAGCTTCGTGAAACAATTAATACAAGTGGCTAAATTTTGGGAAGTAACTAAATACATGTTTTGCCAATGCAAATCATGAAACTTAGAATTATAATTGAACTAAATTTATAAATTCTAAGAAATTGTAATAAAATTATTATCTAGTGGGTTGATGGATTTATTGACATAAAACTTGCCTGTGGGCTAAAGTTTTAATTCTATTAAATCCAACTAAACCCTTATGATAATAATTTATCTTAATTACTAAATAGAGAGAAGAATCTAGTGACATAAAACTTGCCTGTGGGCTAAAGTTATACTCAATTAGATCCAACTGAAATTTTATGATGAAACAATTATCAAATAAGTTGAAGAATCAAGTGACATAAAACTTGCATGTAGGCTAAAGTTTTACTCAATAAGATTCATTACAACTATTATGATAAAAACTTAAGAAATCATGTTCCTTTCCTTAATCCCTGTGGGTAAATTAAGAAATATGATCTAAAGTTTACATCATAAAATTAAACTTTATGATAGAGATGACAATTATTTACAAATAACAAGTAAATAAAATTGATTTATTTCTATCATCACTGATAAAACTACTAAACTACATTCCGATACATAATTGCCTGTGGGCTAAATTATGACCGTGTAGTCCAGTATTTCATCCTGATTAACTATACAAATATAATGAAATTGTCTGTGGGCTAAATTCCATCATATTACATACAATTAATCACAAATGATATGTCAAAAACTGTGTGATCAAGATAAACTGCTTAATATATAATTTTAACTGATTAAGGATGCTGTGGCTACTCCCCAACTCATTAAAATTATAAGATCACTAGACAATTATCATTGACATATTTATGTAATTTAAACCTTAAACAATTTTAGTAAATTAAAGATGTTGTGGCTACTCTTTAATTAATCTAAAATTGTAATCAC